CTAAGATGTTCCTTAGATAAATTAGAGTGTGGTAAAGTGTATTATATGGTTAGAAGTCATAGTTAGAATGTGATGTTCGTTTTATGAATTATGTAATCTTTAGGTGTTTGGCCAAGGATTGGTGATAAAGCTATTGTGAAAATACATTTGGGACACCACCGGATCCCACTTTCGTTCCTCTACTAATGCTAAAAAGAATCCTTTCGAGATTCTGTCTTCCAACTTAAACAGGTGAGTACACAAAACCTTTTGATACATGCTCATGCATCATACCTAATTATGTATATGCAATTTGATTTGTAAGTGTGTTAGATAGAAGAGTCTTGTAATAAGGTGCGGGCACGTCTTATTCATTGAAATACACTTATATGGTTAAATATTGGACAAAATATATTGGCATAAGGTGTGGGCACGTCTTATTCAAGGAAATACTCTTAATATGGTTAAATGTTGGACATAAGATATTCTGTCATAAGGTGTGGTCACGTATTATTCAAGAAAATATTTTTAATATGGTTAAGTGTTGGATAGAAGATATTCTATCATACAGTATAGGCACGTCCTATTCAAGGAAATACTCTTTATATGGTTAAGTGTTGACATAAGATATTCTATCATAAGGTGTGGGCATATCTTATTCAAGGAAATACTCTTAATATGGTTATGTTGGACAAAATATATTCTGTTAAAAGGTGTGGACACGTCTTATTCAAAGGAATACTCTTAATATGGTTAAGTGTTGAATAGAAGATATTATGTCATAAGGTGCGAGCACGTCTTATGCTGGGAGAACTCCTGTTTCTTCAATTTTCTTATTCATTGAGCAGAATAATTTTCAAATTATGGTATTATTAATTGAAAGAACTTGATAAATGAAGTAAGGGGTTGTTTACTAGCATCTGAATCACCTCTTACCATCTTTTATTGGTAAGAGGTTCTTACAAGAGTAAGAGATGGTCTATTTAACAAAATAAAATGCATTTGTGATTGTTGATCGATCATATGACCAAAGTCAATGATAACATAGACTCTTAATGTGGTCAGCGATATCATATTCCTTACTTACCCTTTTTTCCTTCTTGTTCTACTGACAACAGCGTGAGAAAAATTAGGTTGTAATCATCGACCCTATTGCGTAACTAATACTTCTATCAACCAACGAACGAAGATTACAAGCTCCACTTGATGTATAATATGGAGAACCAACGGTGACAAGACTAAGAAGAGGGAGGAATGAAAACGATGAACGAAAACAGCAAGTCGAGAGAATAGAGACGAGCCTGGTATTATTATAAGGAGATGGCGACCGGATGAGGGAAGCTCGAAGACGGAGATCGAAAAAAGCCGAGGTATGAGGGAAGAAGGTTGACGGGAATAACATCTGGATTTCTTTTGAAAAAAGAGTTTGACTTTCAACCTTTTTTATTATAGTACAATAGTAAACTTACATTGAAGATATAAATATATTACAACTTTTGGAAAATACTGTCAAATTTACAGCTTTATAGGTGTAATATTTAATATTAAATTAAATAAATATTTTATATCATAAAAAAAAGTCTTTTGGAAAATATTGCCAAGTTTACAGCTTTATAGCTGTAATATTTAATACTAAATTAAATATATATTTTATATCATAAAAAAAATAAAGTAAATGTTAATAGAAAAATATAGTGTATGAAAGAGGTAAACACCAATTTACTAATTAATGTTTGAAAAACAATTTATTAACAATTATTTTAAATAAAAGGGTTAATTGTCAATATTATGTTATTAGTGTTTAATACAATATATTAAGTGAACTACATTTTTTAGTTAGCACTTATTTGGATCAGATTTTTACTTCAATCAAATCTCTTTTTCTAGTCATCACTTACCCAACAATTTTGTAAACAGCCCCTAACTACTTATGTATTATTGTTATTATGCAGTAATACTAGCATAATTTCTTAACATTATGCTTGTAAAAAAATGAATTTGTAACCAAGGTGTTTGTGGAAAAGCACCAGGGTGTTGTGATGGCATCATAGATGTTGTGGATTAACATCAAACTATTTGAGAATAAATTTATAAAGGTATTGTGAATGACACCTTAGGTGTTGAGGAATGATAGCACTTGTGTTAACTTTAAGTTGGTATGCTTTATGTTCTTAAAATTGTGAAGAATAAGATTGATGTTATTATTGTGTATTCACTTAGCTTCTTGTCAATATATGTGATGTATGTCTTTAGGTATGGATTCATCCAAGACTAAGGATAAAGGAAAAACCTGATCTAAGAAGCTAATAAGGTGGATACAAGTTGAAGCTTTACTTTGTATCTTTGTCAAAGTTCTTTTGAACCATATATAATGGTGCAACTATATAACCCCACATATTTTATTGTTTTTGTAGATGGTATGTGTATAAACTGCTAATTTTGTTATTTCGTACTATAAAAAGGAAGTTTATCCCATTATATATTTCTTTACAATTGATTTGAAGAAAATGGAAATGGGGTGTTACAAGCACATTGTGAACAAATATATGTTCATCAATTTATTAAATGCTAGTATTGGATGAGAAAAAATCATGTGAAACAATATCTTAAGATAAAGTTCTCATAATTTTCACAATGTATGGAATTCTCATATGATTAAGTACATGTATATAAACATACATGAAATGTATATTAACTAGATAAAATAAACATACAATGAACTAACCAAAGCAAAATTGATCAGATAGAATAAGTTCTTCGTCGTTATCCTTATTTGAATCATCATCGGTATCTCTAAACTCTTCTTCCTCATCACTACCCTCTATATATATATGTATTGTTAGGGTGCGTTTGGTGCGCAGACAGGACAGGACAGCTGTTCAGCGTTTGGTAAGACATGATAGGATAGGACAGGATAGAACTGGTTAAAATGACCAATTTACCCTCAGTGAGCAGTTTAGTGTTTTTTCACTAAATAATCAATATGAATGTTTACAAATACTATTTAAAAATACCAAAAAATTCCAAAATCAATCTTAATTAAAAACTCACATTCATAAATCAAGCAAAACAGTAGCAAAAACCCTCTCTAAATTGAACTACCAAAAGCAAAACAAGGTGGAATGAAGGAAAATAATTATAGAAGCTCCCATGTGCAGCAATTCGGTTTGGGATTGCTTGATTTTTGGAAGCATATTGTATCCCACAAGCAAAACAAAGTGGAATGAAGGAAAATAATTATAGAAGCTCCCATGTGCAGCAATCAAAATATGTTCAAGCATCTAAACATAGCAATCCCAAACATGTAATAGCAATAAATTGATTTTTAAGCATACTATGTATACAGAATTCGTGTAGAAGACATGGGTTTGGAAGCATACTGTATTTTAAGCATCTAAACATGTAATAGCAGTAAATCGATTTTTCTTGGTTTGGGATTGCTTGATTAAACAGCCGATTCAAGCATAGCAAAYCCTAAATCGATTCAAACATAGCAAACCATAAATCGATTCAAACATAGCAAACCCTAAATCGTTCCAAACATAGCAAACAACCGATTTAGGGCAATAAAGCAAACAGCCGATTTATTAGGGCAATCGTGTACCTGATGAAGGAGAAGGGATAGCGATGGAGGCGGACTGTGTCTGGAGCGATGGGGAAGAAAGGAGAAGGATGAGCAAGTCGAGATGAAGGGGAAGGTAGAACTCCCGTCGCCGATTGATGAAGGAGAAGGTAGGGTGCGATTGTGGAAGAAAGGAGATGAAGGCAGATTGTGAGGGTAGATTTGTAAAAAAAAACCTTGTTCCACTTAGTTCTAGGGGGTAAGGGTGAACACCCGTGTCCCACCCATGTCCAAGTTAGTTCCACTTAGTTCCACTTAAAAACACACCAAACATGGGACAAGTGTGTCCTGTCCTATCTTGTCCCACCCTGTTCCACGTATCAAACACACCCTTAGCAACTTCAATGTATTCTCCTGATGTGACAAGACTAATAGGTTCAATATCCTCATATATAGTTGTGGATGTTGGATAATACAACCTTTCATTCTCTTAGAAAGAAAGTGTTCCCCATTCATATAATCATCATCAGCTACTCCAGTAACATGTTCTGCTACTTCATATTCCGCCTTAGCATCATCTTCATAATAAGCCATCGTTCTTTCAAATCATTTATCATCAAAAGATAAGGTATCTAAGGCACTTGTTCCGCTTGTGATGCTAGGATAAATGTGTCATCAGTTCTTAGCTTCGACTTGTATTCGATATCAACCAAGTTATGTTTATGGTCGACTATTACCCCTAAAATAGCATTAAACCAAATACCCTTGAATGACCCAACTCTACAGCACCCTAAGTCACAATATTCGATCTCTACCACCTCATCCAACATACATGTTAGTCAAACTCAGATTTTTTTTATAACAAGACCCTTTTCACACATACCCCAATGTCATGTACCTCCTATCATCATGTTTTAGCATATGAAATTATAACTATTGACCAAATATCTCTGATATGACAAAACATAGCATAGTGATCCTTGTGCTAGCACTTTCAACTGTTCAATAATGTCGTCTAACCCTTGCATAACCTACAATGGCATAAAAATATGTCATTTGAAAAAACGATACCAAATTATTTGGTGACAAAAATATATATGTATTTCTCGAACCAATGAGCAAAATTTTACTCTCAACATCTTAACAACGATTAGAACAGATAACAACATTCGTTCACAAAGATAGGAGATAATTAGAGATGGAAATTTGACACGTAGGTGCCTTTGATGGGGCAAATATCCCCTACCTTGACGATAACAAGGTTCAGATGGGAGTCGATACTTTTACGCAATGCATGTTCAGAGGATAGTCGGAGATGATGCTATTCATCCCCAATCAAAGGATCGTTGGAATGATGCTATACATCCTAATCCGACCCAAATTTATACATATTGTACATCATTATCATTTACTAAACGGATTTCCGTCAAAAATCACTGACCGAACAAAAACGGATGATGCATTTCCCCACCCATTCTCGATCCGGTTACCATCCCTAGAGATGAGATGATGGATATGGGAAGAACACTTCCCAATGTCAAAAGCAGAAACAAACAAAAATATGACGATGCTGCGATGCGAGAAATTGTTGGGTTGCATTGATTTCCATCCTCTCACAATAAACAATCATTCCATGACTCCATGACTGATCATATAAACCAGATCCCCTCCTCTTCAATTTCATGTTTTTTCTTCATCGTCACTGCGGCTTGTACTCCAATTTCTCTCGAAACCACCACCGCCAATGGCGTCGTCTGATCTCAAATCCGCCGCCTTGATGGACCAGATGAAGGCTCACTTCTCCACCGACGCCGGCAAAGCGATCACCAAAAAAATAGGCCTTGTTTATCAAATCAATATCGCTCCCAAGGTTGGAATCAACTTCTCGATTTACTGTACTTCGTTAAAATTCCTAATCAGTGCACTTAAATTGAGGGATTATCTTCTCTTACTACGTGGATTTGACAGAAAATTGGATTCAACGAAGAGATATATGTTGTTGATCTGAAGAAAGGAGAGGTTACCAAAGGTATGCTGTTCCTGACATATTTTTTGTTACTACTTGTTCGTTTTTCGATGCGATTATGTTGAATTAATTGAAGAAGTTTACCTTCCGTACTTAAAAACCCAATTGTGATCAACTGCCCCTGTATCTTCTTCATTTAGGGATACTGATAGAGTTTCATTTAACTTGTTTTTTCGATTCAGTGACCTTCACTCCTAAGTGTAAAATTTCCGATTATTCCTGGAAAATTGGATTGTGAGGATACTACTTGTTCTATGTATGATTTCATTTCTTAGTAACACAAAAGCTTTTAACTCAATCACAAGGGAGGTGCTTGATTGGTTTGAGCTTGGCTCTGAAGGTCAAAAGTACCAGGAGGTCAAGTTTAAATCCAAGGAGGAATAAAAATCCCCTTGTGGTCATGGAGGTTCAAATGCGGTGACTCTAGGCTATTTGCAAAGCAGGTGGCCGTCCTAAGATTACTCGGCTCGTATAACGGATTGGATATCCAGGTTAATAAAAAAAAGCATTGAACTCCATGGATGAGGATACTCGTGGGCGCCCATAGCATCGCACTCCCCCAACTGGCTTATACGTTGAACAATCCTTTAGATGGATTCACCAAGTAAGAAATAGAAATCTATATGATGCATGTATAATAATGGACATCAAGAGAACTACAATCCAATCTTCAGCCTATTAATTAGAGCATATGATTTACCATAACCTTTCATAATCTGGTTCGTCAGAATCTTAGAAGTTGAGATGGAAGATAATGGGGTTCTAAGCATTGGATTCCTTAGGATCATACTAGACCAGAAAAGGTAATTGGAACCATCTGAAATCAAAAGACAAAATGAAGTTCTTGGTTGTTCAGAGAAAGAACTATATCTTTTTTGCCTTCATTGGGGTTAATGGCTGGTTTAATGCTGGTTATACCATATCTTGTGCTAGAAATATAGTTAATGCTGGCTGCTAGTGGAGCAGAAAGTTAAAACTACATTTAGGGGCAGTTTACCCAAATGCTTACCCGGTGGTGCTTACCTATAGGAGTCAACACCATAATTTATTTTGATCAGTAAGATTTTATTACATCAAAACGTATTGAATGCAACAATTTACTGGGTAAGCGCTTACTTGGGTAAGAGTCGTAATCTTCACTTACCGGGTAAGACTTTCCATCCTTCTTATCGCTCTTACCCGGTAATGTTCTTGGCGTTTGTCATGTTTATCCGATAAGAAAGTTTATTCAATAAGCACTTATCAAGTAAGCGTTTAGTAAACGGCCCCTTAATCATTTTTTTACCATAGTTTTGAGTCGGCGGTCTTTGTAGAAACAGCTGCTCCACCCTTTCTGGTTTAAGTCCATTCAATTGAGACATATATACAGCGTTTGTTTGTTTGTTTATTCTGGTTTTCTGACAAAGGAGGAGTATCAAGTCAAGAATATCCTGAATTCATGTTTTCTTATAGGCCCGTATGAAGGAGGAAAGCCAGACGCCACCTTTTCTTTCACGGATGCGGATTTCATCAAGATTGCCACCGGGAAAATGAACCCTCAATTTGCTTTCATGAGGTATGAATTTCCACTTAATGATCTGATATCAAACTAGATCTGTGGTCAAATCTTGGTTGTCATATGTGCAGAGGTGCAATGAAGGTGAAAGGCAGTTTGAGTGCAGCCCAGAAATTCACACCTGACATCTTTCCTAAACCTTCAAAGATGTAAGCAAGAAACTGGTCCTTTTGCAGTTGTAGATGAATATTAATTTAATGCTATGTTGTTATAAATTGTATTGGATCTTTCTTTTTCCACAAACCAAATGCTTGAGCACCATTTATCCTCTGTCTAATTAATTCTCAAAACATTTTATAGTTAATTTGTGATTTAATTTTATATGATTGATTGATAATTTCATATTTTTATCAAAATTGTGTTTATTTGAATGTGTAGAGTGTTCACTTGGTTGTAAGAAAGTGATTAGTCTGTCACACTTCTACGCCATACCAGATACTAAATCAAACAAATTCAGTATTTGAAACACCCCACATTTGCATGTAACATAATATATACTTCATTCAAAAGAAATACATGTTTTACACCACTTAAGTCCCAAACTACAAGAAATTATCATACAAAATACATGGTCCAAAAATTCCAATATACAATTCTTGTACTGATCAACATTCATCTACAAAACTGGATTCAACATGAACAGATCTTCACACAGATATGCATATAGGAAAATATCTCATTTTCCTCTTCCCTTTACTATCGTGTAACTCAGCAGTTCCTGCAATACATATTTAGAAATACAAAATGAGGGTTAGACCGGAAGGCCTAGTGAGATCCCTTTTTCTATGTAATTGCAGGGTGAAGATCACCAAAACTTTATTTAAAATCATCTTTTCATGTAAACAAATACATAATCATATAATCCACATTTACCAGTGCTCTGTTGATTCCCATAGCCAATCATTTGACTTTATAAATACATATTAAGCCAACCAAGCTAGAACCTTTTAGGTTCCATATAACTCATCTCTTGGAACTTTTTCATCAGAAACACAGTTCATTCAAAGCCTCTGACCAAAAGCCAGTTATCATCTCCTCAATAACATTCTTACTACGATTTCCAATAAGAACCATGATCTTGAATCTTTAAATCACAAAGAAATAAAGACTCAAAGTCATCGTAATCTTAAAGGATATAATAGTAAGAGTTATATCATTAAACACACACAAATGTCACTTTTATATCCAAATGTACACATCTCCTTGATATGTCACTCTTATTCCAAAGTACATATTTCCTTGATATGGCATCCTTATCCCAAAGTACACATCTTCTTGATATGTTATCTTTATTTACTCATCAAAATTTACAGATTATTCCCAATAAGGACAAACCGAAGTCACAAACGTCCTGATGGAACATCATCTATATTTTAACCAAAAACATTTTCAAAATAAATACGGAATCCTCTTTCTTTTTCATTTTAGAATGAACAATAGATCATTAACATAAACTCACTTGGATAAATCATTCATTAACAATTCTGGTCAACTTTATCCAAAGTCCGGTCAAACCTTTAGCCAGTTTATTCATCCGGGCAATAATAACAATGTATTTCAAACACATTTAAATCTGGTCAGCACAATATACTTAGCCGGATTCTACATCTGGACATGCCTTGGCCGGATTACATATCCGGACAATACTTCAAAAACATAGATCATATTTGAATTCGGACGGCATGTTAGCCGAACTAGACGTCTCCGGACTGCACGCTAGCCGGACTAGGCCGTATCTGGACGGCACGCTAGCCGGACTAGGCGTCTCCGGACGACTCATTAACCGGTTTAGACCGTATCTGGACGGCACGCTAGCCGGACTAGGCCGTATCCAGACGGTACGCTAGCCGGACTAGACATCTCCGGACGGTACTCTGACCGGATTAGAATTTCAATATTTAACTAACACCTTGTCCGGTCAACACTATGACTGGATATCCCCCAATCCGGACAAAGGTATTTAAACCAAATCTGGTCAATATAAACTCAAGAATCAAAACAGAATTTCAATGTACAGTAAATGAAACTCGTATGCAATAAAGTGTTTAAAACCACTCACCTTATGTAATTTAGCAAATGCAAACCAACTTTGATTCCAAGTATGCGAGCAATCCGAACAAGCATTCTCTCGATTCTCTCTTAAGTTTTCAAAAAATGGCAAAGAAGTTTAATTGTGAGCTTCTTCTCTCATTTATACCCCTTCCAAAGGTGGAAGGCGGCTATACTCACATGCTTGCCCAACCCCATGAACAAAACCCATGCATACATACTACTTAATGTATACATAATCATGCATGCAAATTTATTTCATGCATATCCACATACAATCTCATGCATACATATTCATTTTTCATGTATTATATTATGCATATATTTTCTATGCGTAAAACTACACATATTTACATGATCAAATCATCAAATATAACAATTTATCATGCATTCATACAGCCGAATTCAATTGAAGAAGATCCGAATCACGCTCTGTAGGATTTGAACCCCCCCCCCCTCCCTACACACACGTGTTGTGGGTCGTCAACCCTAATCATTATTATAGTATTTGAGCAAAAGTTGATTACCGCTAATAGGAAGCGATATGAGATAACTCGCGAACTACTCGATGTCGACTTGGTCAAAGTTTAGTCATCAATTGACTTGAGTAAGCTTGGCTTGAACTCGAGCTCGACTCGACATACTAACGAGTCGAGTCGAGCTACCCAATACTTGACTTAAAAGCTCGTGAGATGCTCGATTTTTTTAAGTAGTATTAGTTTTACGATATAATTTATAAAATGTAATGTAAGATTTTATTAATAAACTTACCAATAAAAATAAAAACATTATTTGAACAAAGTTGTACATTTTTAACCATAAAAATTAGTCAACTATTTTTACTAAAATCATGATTAAAAAAAAAGACAAAAAAGAAACTATAAAAAGTGTAGGTAAACTTGTTCCAAATATGAAGAGAGATGGTAAAGAAGGGTGAAGCGATACTATAAAAAGATAGGGTGGTGAATCAAATTTGTAAGTGTTTTTTTTTTTTTTTTGACGAAATTTGAGGTGTATCCCTTAAGTTTTATAAAGTTTAAGAGAACATTTTTTAATTTTTATAATTTGTAAGAGAATCCCCTAAAATTTCCGTAAATTTCATCGGGTGAGCTTGATTCAAATTTGAGTTTGAGATTAGTTCGAGCTCGAGTATAGAAAATTGCAATCGAGTTTGATTCCAGTTTAGTTTTAACTACTTGTGATTTTTATAGTCGAGTTTGAGCTTGGGAAATAGTTATCAAGTTTGAGTTGAGTATAGCAATACCCTTAACCGGCAACCCCGACGTGTCCCATATGGAAGCCAGCAACCCGCCCTCTATGAACCATGTAAGGAGGTGTTTCTGAGCGCCTCAACGGCTAAAGTTAGCGGATGGGTTAAAGCTCATCTTCTGTAAGATTCAAACTTATATAATATGTGTTGTTTTGTTAGTGTTCCTCTTATTTTTGGCTTCTTTCTTCCTCTACTTGAAGCTTTAGATAGGCTTTTTTTTTCTTTGAAATATGGATTTAGTATCTATTTTAAATAATCTAATATTGATTGTAAAATTAAAAAAAGTTGATTTATTTTCGTAATCATTAAATTGCAAAATGGATAAAATTAAGATTAAGGGGTCATTTACCAAACGCTTATGTAACAATCCACAATTTCCACGTTTAGATAATTCACATACACATACTCATAAAACAAAATATAGTATTGTTTACAAAACACGGGATAACAAAAACTTTCTTGAATACATTTATGAGCATCTAAATTTTATCAATTCTAAACTTTTCCCTTGCCTTTATCCTGCGAGGTATGATGTCCTGCAAAACAAACAGGTTAGTCCAACAACTGAGCATTAGACCCAAATGGTCTAGTGAGTGTACAAATCTCATACAATAACATACTTTCCAAATTAGCAGTTTAGAATCAAACTTGTACAGACATAAACGTTTTATCTATATTTATATAGATTTTTTTCCTCTCACGGTTACACCATCATTTCATCTCTCTCGCGGTTACACCGCCATCTCATCTCTCTCGCGGTTACACCGCCATCTCATCTTCTCGCACTTACACCGTCATCTCATCGCTCTCGCGATTACACCGCCATCTCATCTCTCTCTCGCGGTTACACCGCCATCTCATCTCTCTCTCGCGGTTATACCGCCATTTCATCATAAGAACTTTAATTCAAAATACAACCTAATCAACATCAACCGGATTTGAAATCCGGACAACCCTACTCGGATGTAGAATCCGGACAACTTAACCGGATGTGGAATCCGGTCAACATTGTCCGGATATCTATCCCGGACAACACTTGGAAGCTTTGAGCGATTTAGACATATCTGGACATCCCTTGGCCGGTTTAAGGAGATATTCGGTTGATACTCAAGCGGTTTAAGGAGAATCCGGTTGCCTCTTAGGCGGTTTAAGACAAATCTAGACGCCCCTTGTCCGTTTTAGGGTCGAATCTGGATAACACTTGACCGGATTGAATTATTTCGGACAGCGTTTATCCGATTTAAAGTTGAATCTGCACAATATATTTCAAGATCCATAATAGAGCAGATAGCAATGAATTGCATACAAGCAATTAATACTTAAAAGCATAATGCACTCACCTTAAAAAGTTGAACGGATTGATCCTGCAATTTACTCTCTCAAAATGTGAAGAAAACTCTTAGAAACCGAAACCCTTACAATTTACATACACTTGCTATTTATAGCAAGTGTATGGCCGTTTTTTTACAAAAGTCGGCTATACACACACACCTCAACACCTTCACACACTTCACCACCTTCACACACTTCACACACACACACACACACACACACATATATATATATATATATATATATATTCAAAAATCTTAAATCAAAACGTGAAAACCCGAATATTACAGCTTACCCAGCTAAGTGCATATCAAGTCACATTACTTTACCGGATATATATGGCAAGGACCAAGAATCTTACCCGATTCGAGGGAAGGCCATGACCGAGAGTCTTACTTGGTAAGTGATAGCGTCGACTTTTGCCACGTTTAACGCTCACCGGGTAAATTGTTGCATACGATGTCATTTTGGTGAACAAAAATATTACCAAGTATGTAAGCAATAGTGTTGGATTTTATCGATAAACGTTTGTCGGATAAGTGTTTAGGTAAACGGTTCCTATATTGAGATCAGAGAATCACTACTAAATAAAGGGTTTTTCCAACGGTCAAATCCGTCAAAAAACACAATTTCTAGCGAATTTGCCAGCAAAAAAAAGCTCCACCACAGAAT